CTAACGAGTTTCAACGGGAACTAAATGGATTTATGTAGGGAACAACTCCAGAGCTGAGGTTAAAGGAATTGGTACCTGCCAGTTAATTATGCGTGGTGGACGCACTTTGTTCCTACATGATGTATTATATGCTCGGAAATTCGTCGGAACTTAGTATGCATTTTAGTGTTGATTCGACTTGGTTTTAATTTGAACTTCCGTAACAATGGTGTAGACTTGTATTTAGGTACGAGTTATTATGGTTGTGGTTATTTTCTAGATGGTTTTATTGTACTGGATGTTGATTCTGTAAATGTCAATGTTTGTTATTCCCACTTCATGTCTTCTACTTCGTGTGATAATGATGTGAACATATGGCATGCTAGGCTTGGCCATATAGGCCAACAACGAATGGATAGATTAGCCAAAGAAAGCTTAATGGGCAATATTGAAAAAATCGATTTGCCCGCTTGTGAACACTGCCTAGCTGGGAAAACAACAAGGAAACCATTTGGAAAAGGAACAAGAGCTGAATTTCCTTTGCAGTTAATCCATTCTGACATTTGTGGTCCAATGAATGCGTGGGCTAAACATGGGGCTGTTTATTTTATCACATTTATCGATGATTATACTCGATTCGGATATGTCTATTTGATTTCTCATAAATCTGAGGCTTTTAGTTGCTTCAAGATATTTATGAACTTGGTGGAAAATCAATTAGACAAGAAAATAAAAGCATTGAGATCCGATCGAGGTCGAGAATATCTATCTGATAAGTTCAGAAATTTGTGTGATGAAAAGGGAATCGAAAGACAGTTGTCTATTCCCTATATTCCTCAACAAAATGGTGTTGCGGAAAGGAGAAACAGAACCCTACTAGAAATGGTTAGGTCCATGATGGCGCAGCTAACTTACCAATCACCTTTTGGGGTGACGCTTTATTAACTTTGCCTACATACTTAACCGTGTGCCTTCTAAATCAGTTATTTCCACTCCGTATGAGTTATGGACAAGTAGAAAACCCGTTTTGAGTTTTCTGAAACCTTGGGATTGTGCCGCTTATACACATGAATCTTCTCATAAGTATGGGAAATTAGGTCCTAGAGGTAAGAAAAGTATCTTCATAAGGTATTCGGAAATCTCAAAAGGATATATATTTATAGGTGAGCAAGAAAGTGGAAGTATAACTGAATTTGAATCACGAGATGTCACATTCTTAGAGAATGAGTTTCCTAAGAAGGGCGAAATAGGTGAGAACTACTCACTATTTGAAACCTTGGATCCTGATAGTGAAATCGATAAAGTTCGTCCAAGTGGAAGCAATGTGAGAAGTGAAGAATTGAATTTGACTCAATCTCAATTGCAACCTTTTGATGAGACGATTCCGTCATTATCTAATTCAAGTGGGAGCATAATGGAGAATGATATACCACGTGTACAATCTCCCATACGGCGAACAAGTCGCAAAAGTATTCCCCGACGATGTTTTGACATTGAAGGGGAAACTTTCATGATCGCTCCACAAAATGAAGACGAGCCAAGGAATGTAAATGAGGCTCTAAATTGCCCTAACAAAGAAAAATGAATGATTGCAATGAAAGAAAAAATGGAGTCAATGAAGTCAAACCATGTTTGGGAACTGGTTGATCTTCCAGAAGGACGCAAAGCTATTGGGAATAAATGGGTTCTCAAAATAAAACGCAAATCCGATGGCTCAATAGAAAGATATAAGGCTCGCCTAGTGGCGAAAGGGTATAATCAACAGGAAGGAATTGATTATGAAGAAACTTTCTCCTGTAGTGAGATTTACCTCAATTCGCCTTATTCTGACAATAGTGACAAGCATGGATCTTGAATTACATCAAATGGATGTAAAGACTGCTTTTCTAAATGGAGAATTAGAAGAAGAAATTTACATGGAGCAACCAGTTGGCTTCGTTGTGAAAGGCCAAGAACAAAAAGAATGCCAACTTCTAAGATCGATATATGGCCTTAAGCAATCTTCGAGACAATGGTATATACGTTTTCATAATGCCATAGTGGCGTTTGATTTTACAATGATTGATGAAGATCATTGCGTGTATATCAAAAGATCCAAAGATCAATTTGTGATTTTATCATTATATGTTGATGATATACTGATTGCCAGAAGTAATATGGAGTTGGTTAATACTATTAAGAGTTGGTTATCGTCCAATTTTGAGATGAAAGATATGGGTGAGGCTGCATATATTCTTGGAGTTAAGAAGATTTCAAGAGATCGTTCCAAGAGATTATTGTCTCTTTCGCAAGAGACTTATATAAATAAAGTTCTTGAACGATTTTGTATGCAAGATTGTAAACCCATGGATACTCCTATTGCAAAAGGTGAAGGATTGAGCCATAGGTTGTGTCCTAAGACTCCACAAGAGAAGGAACAAATGAAACGTGTTCCTTATGTTAGTTCTATTGGAAGTTTAATGTACACTATGATGTGTACAAGACCTGACATATGTTTTGCAGTTGGGATGGTAAGTAGGTACCAATCCAATCCAGGTCAAGCACATTGGAAAGCCGTAAAAAGAATCATGAGGTATTTAAAGGGTACTGCTAATTATTTATTGAGTTATCAAGGCAAGGATCTGCGACTTGAAGGCTACTCAGATGCTGAAAACTCATTGTTAGTCAATAGTGATAGTCAAGCAGCGATAGCATACACCAAGGATCCGAAATATCATGGCAAGACCAAACATATAGATACCAAGTATAACTTTGTCAAGGATATGGTTGCACGAAAAGATGTGAACTTGCAGTACATATCTACGCATAGAATGATAGCAGATCTTATGACGAAGCCAATTCCAAGAGATGTTTTCTATGGTCATGTAAAATCTCTGGGACTGCGTAGAAAGTGACGTCACTGAATATTGTATTTTTCCCTGAGTGTTCACATTTAATGAAGTTGCTCTCTCATTATTAATGCCTATGAATTTATTTAATATTTATGCATCTTAATGCTTAGTGCATTATATCGAGAAAGTATGTCTGACAGATGAGATTAGCCCACTTACACGGCTAATCGCCTCTAGTTACTGTGCGATAAATAGAGATGAGACAATTTTTAGGCTTATTATCTAGGTGATAATCGAGAACTCAAGCTTAAAATAAAAATGTTGCCTTAGCTAAGTGCCGAGATGAGGACATAACATTTACTATGTCCGAAAGTAAAATAACCCACATATTTTACTTTATCTGTCTTTGATGCTAGATGTGAGTTCTAATGGATTCTTTAGAGGAGTAGATACGTGAACTCAAGTTTAGACATTAGGTATGTCTGAACTATCATCTGTACGGTATTGAATGTAAAGACATACGCTCCACGGGAAAGGAGTTAATACCGTAATACGTATTTCATACTACGTATGCATAAGACGACCAATAAGAGTGGCAAAAGTTTTTGATCTCAACTTTATGCCGTGTGAGACTCTTGAGAATATGAGTTCCTCATTTAGTGCCCTCACGACTCTAACTTATTCTCAAAGTTTCTATTCAGTGTTCGCTATCTTAGGATGTTGCCAATGGTCATGAATGATTCGATCTAATGGGGCATTTCTAGAAAGCGGCTGGATGAAATAGAGAGATTAAAGGAAAGAGGAAGATCAATTTATTATGATGTCACATTCTATGTTTGTATTCACAGGTCGACCAATTATGATTTTAAGTAAATCATAGTTGTGAATACAATATACGAGATACTAAAAGAGATCAAAGGGGATATAAATATGACTGATTGATCTAGGGGACTGCATACTATATCTACTCGGAAAACGTTGTACCCAATTTTGAGCTGCTATGTATTCCTAACTGTATGCATCGCAACGAGCTCTCAAGTATCTTTGGTCGCACGGATTATTTGCTTAGTATGAATATTGCAAAGAAAAGAGAGTTAATGTTTAGCCCACCACATGTATGCGAGTGGGAGATGATGGATTTTCTTTGTGAAGATGGGCCGCCCATGATGGGCTAACCCAGCCCATAAAAGAAAGTAACTGCACTTATCAGTTATTGTCTAGAAACAAAAGTGAGAACACACGTTAAGAGTGTGTGGGGTTTGCATTTTTCATCATCAGAAAACTCATTCTCACTAAAGGACAAAGAAGAAGGGGCTTTGTTCAACAATTCAAGGATTGTTCTCTCTCTCGAGGCTGTGATAAGTGCATTTAATCTGTGGTAAAAGAGGTATGTTCATTTTACGTAATGTACTTCGAACGATCGGTGATTCAAGTGTAGAATGGGCACGTTTTTCCGCAATTTTTGTATTATGTTTAGGAATCTGTTTCCTTCAGGAGATAAGGCTGTAGAGAAGGGCCATCATCGGAAAGTTAGAGCTACTTCAAAGGGTCTCACGTGCGCCTTTGAAGAAAGGCTCACCAAAGTACCGTCAACCGTGGGCAACTTGAAGAATGGCCTATAATTTTTTTTTTTGGTCGGAGCCTGATGATTTGATGGGGTGACAATAGGATCAAAGAGACGCTTCGTGACGAGTTCTCAAGCGCCTTGAATCAACTCGTCGACCCATTGCATGAGAGGAATGATGCTCTCAAGTCCTTCATGGAAGACCATCGAGAGGCTAGAGATAACCAAAAAATAACTCAAGACTTGCAAGACGGCCATGGCTAGCGGTGTAGTCACCCTGATGCTAAGTCTGAAGGTGGACATTCCGAAGTGAAAGGAGTTCAAGAGAGACCGGTCTGCCAAGGAGGTGGACAACTCCATGTGGGGCATGGAACAATACTTCAAAGTTCAAACCCATGGGAATTGAGGACAATGAAACTAAGGTACGAACTGCTATCATGTACTTAACTGATGTTGCTATGCTTTGAAGGGCAACATAGGTGTGACGATGAGAGGCGGGGTGCCAAGCCGGTCAAACATTAGGCCACCTTGGTCTCCACCTTTCAAGAGCAGCTCTTCCTAGAGTTTGCCAAACTACACAGGTTCACACATAAGGGTCATATTCGTGAGTGTGTGAGTGAGTTTACCGAGCTCTTGTTGGACATGACCGACTCCAAGGCTCTAATTAGGGGGAGCGTGGTCCGGGTAAGCGGTTCCCATCCTGGAACCAGGAATCGCACTAAGGATAGGTTCTGAAAATTTGAAACCAGAACCGGTCCGCAATCCCTACAATATTCGTCAATCAATACCATGGTGAACCTAATTTTTATGTAAGTACTTCTTTGCACGGGAAAAGGTAAGAATAATAAAGAAATCTACATGTAGGTCTTGCCTATCAAACACGACTATGATTTTAAGATCAATGCTCCCATTTGGACATTTGCTTACATCTCTTGCTTATCATTTGACAGAAAGCCAAATAGACTTTGAAAAACCATTTGTTTCGGCTTAAATCTATCATCATAGTCTCAAGTGCTGCAGATTGAATCAACCAAAATTAAATATACGCATCAATGCTCAATAGCTTTGACTAGATGTTTTAAGAGATGCATTTGCGAGTAAGTGGTAGGGGAGAGAAACAAAGAGAGGCTCACATCGAGAAAAGCAACATCCAAGTAGGAGAAATTAATCTCGACGGAGACACCCGTGAAGGGGGCAAGAAAGACTGTAAGGTAAATGGCAAAACGCAGGTGAGAAAAACTCACTTTCACTGAAAGTGAGCTAGAATTTTCTTTAAAAAAGAAATATATATATATATATCAGTTGGGTTCGGGCGGGCAGTTCCATGCCTGGAACCGGGAACCGCACCCTTACTCACAAGTTCCAATAAATTAGAATCGGCAACCAGAACACTGTCTATGAGAACCGCCGTTTCTGAACCGGTGCAGTCCGGTTCCAAGTAGTTCTCAATTCCTCTGCACACCCCTACCTCTAATCATATACATGTATGCGCTTAAGTCTAGGGCCAGCTTGGAGTGCAAGAGCACTTGGGCTTTAGCCGCGGCCGAATCCTTCATTGTTCCAAGTCTAAGGTAAAAAGGTGGGGCAGCGAATCCCCACCATGACGTAGAAGAGGACGAACTAATTCATGATTGAACCGGGAAGGCCTCCTAGTGGCAAGTGGAAGATGCCACAAGAAGATGCATACAAGGATCGAGAGAGGAAGCCAATCAAATGTTTCTTCTGCGATGGCCTACATCTTAGTAGAGATTGCCCGAAGAAGAATAGACTTTCGGCAATTCTCTTCAAGAGCCCAGACAAGAGAATCAGGAAGTGGAGCTTGGGGCGTTAGAGCTACTCAACTTCTTGGAGACTCAAGTACAAGCCTTTAAGATCGAGTTTGCCATTGGTGAAAGTTAAGTTGGCAATAAAAACTCTATGCCTTGATTGACACGGGCACATCAAACTTGTTAATGTCTAGTTAAGCAACAAAGAGTTTGGGTCTTCAATTGGACTCGAGCAATATCGATTCAAGGCGGTCAATTCAAACAATGTGCCGGCCATTGGCATTGTTCGGGATGTGGATATAAGCATCAGAGATAGGAAGGGTAAGTTCACTACTGAGGTAAATCCACTTGATGATTAAGATCATGTTTTGGGTATGGATTCTTCAATAGGATGCCCTCATCGACATAAGGACTGAGTAGCTTATTGTCATAATCCAACATGCCAATAGTTCGTGGGTTGACGACAACCAAATCATCCACAATATGACTCGTGAAAGGAAGGGTGAGAGTTGAAGAGTCTGTGGCCAAGTTGAGGGCGAGGCCACAGTTTGGACAGGTTAAGTTGGAGTTGGAGAGATGTCGATCCATCTATTTTTTTCGTGAAGTAGGGGACTTGCTGGACAACATTATAGTTGGCCAAGCCGAGGGAAAAATCGCTTGTGGAGCAAGTTGGTGTTCAAGATCCATGCAATCGTGAAGTCGAGAAAGGAAAGACTAAATGGCGTGGACGGAAGAACCGCCAACCATCGAAGGAGCCAATGATCTAAAGGAAGGATGCAACAGGGCAAGCAAGAACTCCAAGTTGAGAGCACCGAGCGCGTCGCTCAATTGGGCGGGAGAGAATGTCCCATCGGAGGTTTTCAAGACCCATTAGGCTGAGGAGATGACCAAGATGACCGGGCAAGGCTTGAAGCTTCTAATAATTGATATTCTAGAATAATCCTCGTGATGTATGAGTGTATTTCAAAGGATTCTTGTAATAAATGGGCTAGACGGTGGTTAGGATATTAGATCTTCACCATTAAATCAAGGACACACCTACGATTGTAATTAGAGGGGCTAACGAATATACAGGGGGTTCGCTCTCCCTCATTTCTATCATCCAACAATTCAACAAGCAATAGAGCATTATTCTTTCTCAAATACTCATCTCTCTAAAATTCTCTTTCTACGATCCGAGGCCAATTAAGTGAGTGAGCGAGCAATATTTCGAGGGGAAGGCTAGTTTAGGCTTTCTCTACTAAAAGGTGAATTGAGTCATTCAAAGTCTCAAGGCAGCATGATTTCTATCTCAAGTACCGGCCAGTGACACTAGTGTTTTTAAAATCAACGATGTTAAATAAGTTCATTCAAATTTGAGTTAAGTTCGCACATAAAGGCCTCCACCCGACTCATCTAGTTAACATGAATTTGTTTGAAACTTGCAAAATCACAATCTCTCTCTAACTATTTATTTTTGTAATTAAGTTCATTTTCCATAAAATCAATGACTAATCAAATACCTCCCTCTCGAATTTTTCTTTAAATTCATCTTCCATAAATAATATCAATACATGTCACAAACACTAAAATATCTTTCTGTTCATGAATGTGTGACGGATTATCAGTATGACCTTGTGTTTTCAGAAGAAATAAGGGCATCGTTATGTTCCCACGGCTTGAAAATAGGCTTCTAGGTATATGTCAAATCTTGTGCAATGGCAATATCAAGTATCAAGATTAAAGCTAAAACGATCCATTGATTGATTCGGTGATACAACGTTAGTATTGTGCATGGTATAACAGCTGCGCAAGATGCTTTCTCTGATCAATGAATCCTATAAATTCTCAAACATATCCTCTATAAGGTTTTCTTTATGTATAAAAAAAAAAAAAGAAGAAGAGAGAGATAGAGCTCACACACTGCTTTTTTTAGGCGTAAAATCCAATTATAATAGGCATGTGCTGCGAAACTACTTGCCTAGAAATATCTCAAGCAAGGAGGTTCATGAACTAGAAAGAGAAAACCAAATTGCCTATCTCGCATACGTACAAAGGTTCCAAATGCAAAGTAAAATCATCATTCCTTAGACCAAAAAGACATCGAAAAGCGGAAAAGAGGGCTCACCGGAGAGCGAAATCAAGCCGATAGCTTCTTCCAAAGCAAGATCTCTTCGAACAGTAATGGCATCTGCATCATAAGTTCAAACAAAAAATAAAAAAAAGGGCAAAGAAAGGAACACGTGGTGAGACAAACACTCTACCGGTCACGATTCGTACCGATCATGTATACACAATGCCAAAATCAAGCACGCATCGGCAGGTATGCCCGATCATCGCAATGCAAACGATCAAATTCTCGCTCTCTCCTCATATTTCTCCAGCGAATCCAATTTCACAGGTTTGATCTACCGCATCGTCGCTCGCGAAGGTCGATTCAGAACTACAGAACGCATCGGTTTCTACTGCTCGGGGCGGCGAGGAATCGAGCTCGTGCACAGAAGGAAGAGGAAGCGCGTACCTTCGTCCGATCGTGTCAATGCGAGCTGCGAAACGGCAGCAGCGGAGGCGGCGAGGAGAGAGGGTCGAGGCTCGCGGCGGAGATCGCAGACGGACGGGACGGGTGCGAGGGAGGACGAGGAGGACGGAGAAGGTGGAATGGTGCTTCGCGCGAGCAGACGTGGGGAAAAGCTTGTGCGAGGAAGAGAGCTCGCGAAGGAGAACAAACGCAAGAGAGATAGAGGAAGAGAGAGAGAGAGAGAGAGAGGAAGGAAGGAGGCAAGTAAAGAAGGGGGAGGAGGGGATTTTATAGACGGCGAAAATGTTGCTGGGGAAGGTGCCCCCACTTTCATCGAGCGAGATGGGAGTGAATTTAATAATGTATGGATATACATATGATCAATTGTCGTCGAACAAAAAAAAAGTTAAATTAATTTGAACCCGGAAAGAAAAGTTGAATTGATTAGAGCCCAAAAAAAAGTTGAATTGATTGCACCCCAAAAAAAAAAAAGGCAAATTACTATTTTTAAGTTCAATTTTGCATCTATCTCAATGAATATGTCGTCTCACCTTTGTTTTTTTCACCTTTTCTCTTTCACTTTGCATATGGATATTTATGTGTGCCACATGCTAGCATAGTCTAACTCGATGGTGTCAAATAAAGTCATTTGAGTTTAAGATGAGTCTACCGTTAAAGACCTCAACTCGACTCGTTTAGCTCATAAGAATTAAGTTTGAATCTTGCACAATCGAATAGCCTTTCTATCTATTTATTTGTATAACTAAGTTCCTTTTCCACTGGATGAATTGCTAATCATATATCTCTCTCTCCAAATTTTCTTGAACTCCATATATTTTTCTATAAAACCAATGACAAATTATTATCAATAACTATCACGAACGATATTGGTATGAGCTTGCTTGTTGGTAAATGCCATTCTTGTGCAATGGCAATATCCGGCAATATTAAGTATCGAGATCGAGCTAAAATGACGCCACCAAAATCTATTGCTGTCTCTCCAAAATTCAAAGTCCATATCATTATGTGAAGAGAGTTAAAAAGTATAATTAGTTCGGTGATAACATGGACGAGATGCCTTCTCTAATTGATGAATCCTAGATTCTTCAAAAAAAAAATTGCCTTTCCGACACTATTTTGAAAAAAAAAAAAAGAGAGAAGATTTTTTCCTTTTGTATTGGTAAAAAATATAAAAAAAAAAAAAAAAAGAAAGCTCGCTCCGCAGTCCGTACCCTCTCTCTCTCCCTCTCTTAAGCGGCGCTGGCGAATCAGCCGAGCCGCGTGCCCCCCACAACTCCAACTTGGCTCGGGCGGCCGATGTTCGTGCGCCGTTAAATGAACAGCGGCGACCAATAACTCGGGCCGATTTCGCAAACATGGGTCGAGATTTTTTCCACTTTCTTCCTCGAAGAAAACGCGCTTCCGGTTTCGGGAAACGTCGGGCGGGGGAGGTGGGGGGTAAAAGGCCAAAAAAATTCGCGGCAGGACGGCCCGTCACACGTGTCGCTCCTAGGGTCGACCACGCGAAATCGGCTCCGGCCCTGCAAGAGAAGTTAGGTTTCCAGCAACGCGGCTCCCGCGAGGGAATAGGGATCGAACACGTAGCCTCGGTCGTTGCCTTGCGTTTGACAATATAAAAATCTCGCTGGGGGCTCCCAAGTCCCAAATACAAAAAGAAAGTTCGACGTGACCCCGCTAAAAAACAAAGTAAAAGGGCAAAGGGAACTCGGAAAACAGCAATCTTACCTGTCACGGCCACGTGTCCGTCCCCAGATCGTGGTCGGAGAAGTTCAATGATTCGCAGGTTAGAAAAGTGGTTGCCCATAGTACGAAGATATTTTGGGGATGGTGGTGCAAGTTGAGCCCAGATATTTTCCGGTCGACATGGAGAGAGAAGTATTAGAATAAATAGCGAGGAGGGTGTTTTGCCTAGACTCCTAAAGTATGACCGGAATAATTGTGTTTTGTACCTGTGCCTTGTGAAGGAAATTCCAGCAAAAAGTGGTGTTTAGTAGCGTCACCAATCAAGCAAAAGGGCACAAAGCAATTTGTCGATGAACAGTGAAAAAGATTCAAAACAAAGTCAATTTAAAAGGAGGAAAATCCGAGAACGATATCGGAGGTTAATGGGATTTTATTCTTGTGGTATCTAAATTTCACATTTCGAGTCTATTGAAATATAAGTTGAATGCCCATAAGCTCTTTCTGCCATTTTACGAATTCTTTCATGTCACTAGCCACAAGATGGATCTGATCGGTTTTAGTCACTTTGCTAAATAACATGCCCTCCACATTTCGAGATCACCTTACAAACATGTATGATCATTTTGACATCATAAAACAAAGCTCGCCACCTTTGAGTACATGAGCACACTAGGCCCTCCTTCGTATTTTGAACGAACTTAAAATATTAAAATACAGAAGAATGAGTACTCAAGACATACACTATCCGTGGAAAGTTATATTTTCGCATACGGCCTCAAAATCATAACAAGGGTGCATTGTCGTCGTAGGTAACTAGTTAAGTGGAGCCATTGAGGGAGGAGGGGCGAGCCCTCTTGTAAAACATTGTTATGCATGTATCATTTAGATATAGACGAAAACTTGCCGCTAGAGTATACATATACTTATAATTTATAGTTATCGCTAAAATTATTTTCTTGGCCAAATGCCTATATAGACTAATAGAAAAGTTCAAGAACAAAATTTATAAAATTTAAAATTGAGATTTGTGTTTTCAACTCACTAATGACTAATACTCTACAATATGTAAGTTTATTGAAAGTTTTCGTGCAAAACGAAATTTTGACTACATTCTCCGTCGATGAATTCCGCCCCCTTCGATCTAAATTCTAGCCCCATCACCGATTGAAGTGTATATATCTTGGGTAAAGAAAAATTCTTATCGGTGGTATTCCTCATAAAAATTCTAAAATAATCATCAAATATATTCATGGAGTTATCGTGCCCAAAACAAAGAAAATCACGAACTTCTAGAAGAACTCGGTCTTGTCCAATTTTAACAAGGAACCGTGCCCTTTTTGTTTAAAACAACCTTGGAATAATACCTTTCAGCATGGCCCAGATTGATATTATGCGTATTGTTCGTACGATGTTCTCATCTGGTCCAATAAAAAATGGGATAATGAAACAAATAGTTCATGAACTTTGGCTTAATATGCAATTTGATCCATGAATTTTAAATTTGTTCTATATAGTCCATGAACTTTTGCCTAATGTTCGATGAGGTCCATGAACTTTTAATTTATTCAATATGGTCTTTGAACTTTTGGTGCATATTCAAAATAGTCCATGAACTATATGAAAATGTTTAATGTAGTCCTTGAACTCGAATTAATGGAAGAACTATATATATAGTTTGAGAACTAAATTGAACATGTACCAAAAGTTTAAGGATGACATCGAACAAATCAAAAATTCAGGGATTATATTGAACATTAAGTTGAAGTTCAAGGATTATATTAAACAAATTAAAAGTTCAGGGACTACATTATATATTGGATCAAATTTCGGAGACTGTTTATATCATTTTTCTATAAAAAATCCTCAACAATCTCGAGGAAATCGAACCAAGAATTGGTTAGAAAAGAACGGAAACTCGTGAAAGTGCCACGTAAACATAGCTATAGATTAGATTCAAAGTGTGGTTGCTCTAACAAGATTTGATGCCTTCATGGGAACCCAATTATCAAGACGCATACGTGTCCCAACTTCTACCTTCGTCGAGCCAATCGAAACGCGACACATCGAAGTAAAATTACCGAGAATTCTAGAGATTTTGACTGACGTGAAGGAGGCATCGTGGGCATCTGTCGGAAGAGAAGCCAACATTGCACGACTCCTCCTGATCGAATATGATATTCAAAGAAAAACCCACGATGCTCCTCTCTTGTACGTATCCGCTCCCTCTGTTTTGGTGTGTGAAAGTGACGGGTTCGGGCGGGGGAAAGAAGAGTTGTGGCTACGAGGTGTAGAGGATGACCGGCGCCAGAAATGCAAAGGAGAGCTCCGTCTTTTGAACTCATTTTGTATCTATCTCATCAATCGTCGATAATGTAATGTGTCACAATACGTGATTTCGTTCTAATCTAGGACCTTGGGGATTGAGGTCCCTCGGATGGTGTGCACCTACGCACCACGAAGTGAAAAGGTCCTCCTGGTATTTTCATCGGGACGATCTCCTGATGCATAAATCAGATAAATATAGAATGAGAGGGAAAAGTCATATGAGCTATGGGACATTAGGCCATGTCTTTGCGGTTTGCAAGGGGTTGTTACCATTGTAGCTTGAGTGAGTGCGTAGCTCACTAAACACGGGCCATCCATTTTTGGGCCCCTGCATGTGTTGGCAAACAATATTAACGAGGTTTAATAATTTAGGAATTGGACTTACCTTTGATACCGGCTTCGAGTAGGCATAAGTACAATTAGACCCGTCAAACGTGTTTGTTGGGTCAGGTAAAAAATGTTACGATCCAAATTGACCAATTTAACCCGTTTTGACTTATTTCCATACAATACAAATTTAGTTACCCATACTCGGCCCAACTCAAACCCAACTCATACTCGACCTGACCAATATTACTAAAATAATTTTACATTTAACTAAATCTAGAAAAACTCATACTCAAATTGAGGTGAAAGCATGAAGTGAACAAGTGAGCGAGAGAGAAATCAAGTGAGGGCTAGAGGTTGAAAAGAGAGTCATAAGATGAGTTGGGTCTAAATCAGTCATGAATTCATTTAACATCCATATTATTTTGGACTTTACAATTTTAAACCCATTTAGTGAATATAATTATATTTTATAACAACTCGGCACTTCAAATATGAGTTAAAAAATGGGTCGTGACTCATTTTGACAAGTCTAAGCACAATCACCAATTTCTATCCACATCATCCAAATAAATATATTATTCTTTTGATTCTCATTAGATAGTACCGAGTAGCAACAAAATTCAATTATCATATAAGTTACTTTCACAAAGTCTTGTAATTTAAATGCTCCAGTTGTAATATGCAAGTTTTTTGAATTCACAATGCAATAAATGTAAATTTGTGACAACATCATTTTTACACTTTTAGCACAATAACAT